ACAGTATTTCTTATAACTCAGCAGTATAATGCATCATAAAGCAATGTCATTAATTCACAACAAGTCAGCAGTTTAATGTAATGCAAATCAGTTTAACTAATGCAATAGTTATCAGCTTCTTCTAATTCAGGAGGAAAATGCAAACTAAACTACATAATATTTCACAATCTTTAATTCGGGGTATAACATGGCATAAAATAACACTACAATCCAACAGTGGTTTAAGGTGGTTTGAGAATGAGCAGAATAACCTGACATGCATGTGTCTGGGCTGTCGGAGTACCTGACAGCATGATCCACACTGATCGTCCAACAATCCTGCTTCCAGGGAACATTTCCACAACAAGTTCCAGTGATGCTCTCAAAGAAGGAAGTTTGAAGTAATGTTTCTGTAAAATTATTTCATAAAATGTCCCCACAGTGGACACGACAACAGTGAAAAGAAATCTCCATTATGGGACATTATATCAATTAGTGAATCAATCAGTCAGGCCTTTATTTGTCACATGCAATGTTACACATACCTGCGTTGAAAATTTGACCCCCTTCAGACCATACATACATTGCACAAACATCACATTGGGAAGACAGGTCGGAAACAGAAATAAATGTAATGGTTTGTACAATAATTAGTGACAGAGCTGCAGTGGTGCACACAGTACATGATGGTTCTTTTCCTCTGAGAAGGAATATTTACTGGTTATCTACAGAAAAAAATTTGAGAGATGAACATCTGAGTGCATTTATTCAAATAATCTCCACATCAGAGATGGAGAGGACAAAGTTAGTGAGACTCACAGAGACACAACAGAGCTCTGATTCAGAAGTGATACTCTGTGGTGACATCAGTGATGACATCATAATGATCATCCAGTCCCTGATCAGGCTGAGTGGGCAGGATTGAGACACGAATGTTATTTCCTGCAAAAATGTAAGAAGTGTTTCAGCTGTTAATTTATAGAGAATTCTGCATATTGATTAATCAGAGAACGATTCAAAGTGTTACCTTTAGTTCTCTGTCGACATAAAGACACGACAAGGAGAGTGGAGATAAAGTATGGACAGAACACCACCAGGTGGATAACTACAAGCTCAGGTGAAAATAAGTCAGGACGCGGAGTTGATGGAGTGGGAGG